CACGGGCTAGGTTCGAACGCTAGAGTCGGTGCTGGCGGAGAAGGACCGCGCGCAGTTCTTCGTGGGAACCAGCACGTTGAACCAGCCCAATCAGGTGAGCATTTTAGGTTCATTAACTTCATTCGACGTCTCTAAAGGCTGTATCTACTAGATCCATTTAGTGCAAGTGGAGGATGATGCCAGCAACGTCATTACGCGTCAAGTGTTCAACCATCCTGGTGAAGTCCTGAGTCTGGCACCGAGTCCTCAAGATCCACAGCTGTTGGTCTCGTGTGGCAAACAGCGAGGACAGCAGGCTGAGGCTTCACTCTGGAAGCTTCCGGATGCTGAAGCTAATTCGAGTGAAGAGGATGGAGCTACTGTGGCTCAAGATCTCGAGCAATTGGCTGTGTTCCCAGCTCAAAAGCTGCCAGTTTCCGAGTACGAACCATTTTATTGACGACTTCGTTTGTCCAGAGCTGATGCTTGTATTGTGATCATTAGAGTCGCTTGGGACGCTACGGCGGACACATCGATATTGGCATCAAGTCATGAGACGCTGCTGCGTACGTGGCAATTGGACGGAGGGTCAGTGGAAGCACAGGACAAACTGGAGCTGGACGTGTCGATGCTGGGAGGTGCCACGAAGAAAGGTGCGAGTGCATTGGCATGGGATCCGCATCACGCGTCGCAACTGGCGTTCGCTCTTGGAGGCAGTGTGCGCACGTGGGATCTTCGAGCCAAACAAGACAGCGTCAGTATCGAAGACGCACATCTGAGCGCAACGTTATCACTCGACTTTAACCCGAACAAACCGTACGCGCTAGCAAGTGGAGGAGATGACGGCAAACTCAAGTTCTGGGACTTACGCTATGCACGGAAGCCGGTATTGGCCATGAACGCGCATTCGCACTGGGTCTGGAGCACGCGTTATCATCCGCAACATGACCAGCTTGTCCTCTCTGGAGGTTCAGACGCAACACTGGCATTGTGGAGAGTTTCCTCGATCTCGTCGTCCCCCTTAGTCGAGTTGGATGAGCGTGACCTAATGGACGAGACAGCAGGTGGAGCCGCCGTGGCAGACACGTTGATTCGACGTATTGAAGAACACGAGGACGCAGTGTATGCAGCTCGATGGGCGACTGGAGGAGATGCCTGGATGTTCGTCTCCGTCTCGTACGATGGGCGTCTTGCAGTCAACCACGTGCCATCAACGGAGAAGTACAAGATCTTGCTGTAATTGGAAGAATAGGCATGTTACTGTGTCTTTGTTTATGTTGGTTTTGGTTGGTACGTCGGGCCTGGAGACCTGCTGTCTGTCGTCTGTCGATTGGAAAAAGAGTTTTTCCTCTCGATATCTACACCATTTGATTGTTTTTTTTTGGTTGCTAACTCGCTGTTTGCTCTACTAAACGCTTGATTCACGCACCTCACACTCCACGTCAAGCATCACTCAACCGCGCATAAGCTTGTTGGCTTCATTACGCAGCCAGTCTAACTCGTCCATAGCCTGCTGGAACCCTGTCATATCACCCTTCCCGACGCACTCTGCCACTCTCTGTGCCGCGGCAGCAAGACGCTCCTCCAGTGTGTTGCTTCCAGTCTGTGAAGCACCTGACGATCCTGAAGACACGGTACTAGCACCGAGAGCTGTGGCAGCTGCAGCCGCACCAGAAGAAGTGCTCGATGGAGCCGCTGTAGTGCTACGCACGATCCCAGATCCAGGTGCAAGCATCTTCTTAGTCGAGGCCTTCGGTGTCAGCCGTGGCATACCAGGGAATCCAGGAGGCGCCGTCACTGACGGGGCTGTGGCTGGTACACGGTCTCCCCGATCTTCTTTCTTGGTCGCAAGCAGACGTGCAGCATTGCTCGCGCCGATCCCCAACGAGCTCTGAATAATTTCATCCTTGGCACGAGTCTTGTCTTCGCTGCTCAAACTGCCACGTCGAGCCAATTCCGCCACCTTCCGGAGTCGTGCACCGTTCGGAGACATCATAGGCAAACCATTGCCCTTCGTTGACGACGTAGTAGACGCATCATCATCGTCGTCTGCCATGGGAGGCGGAGGCGGCGGAGGGGGGATCGCCAGCGTTGAAAGCCCGCTCTGTTGTTGTCGCGCGGCATTGTAAAAAGACACGAAGCTGCCCGAGATTTCTGCCGTATCGTCATAGCCGCCAGTCACTTGGACAACGTCCTCATCTGTGTAGTCCTGGGAGCTGGATTCATCATTGACTGACGTTGAAGCGCTCGCTTCGGAGACTGAATCCTCGTGGATTTCATCTTCAGCATCACCGTGACGCTCAGCAATACCAGGCATCGCTCCAGCTGTACCATAACTAGGGTATCCTGCCAGCTCCCCATTGTCACCGAACGACATGTCACGCGCGAGTTCAAGACGGCTTTTGCTACGTCGCCGGAACTTGAAAAACTCAGCAGCATTGCCGAAGCTGCCACGTCGCGCGGCGTTGGCTCCTCCAGATAATGGCATACCGCTCGTAGTGGACGGCGAGCTTGATAACATTCCCGACGAAGGTGGAGGAGGAGGCGGCGCACCTGTATTGCGACCGCGGGTAGACGACTGCAGCGAAAGTCCCGTTAGTTGAGCCGCAGCTTCAGCTGCAGACGAGTTTAGTCCACCTGAGCTGGTATCGACATCCGAATCCACAAGCTTCTTCCGCCCAGTATTAGTCTGCGGTGTATTAAGCACAGCCTCTGCCACTTGCCAGGGCACTGTCATCGATGGCCTTCGTGTGAGTCCAGGAGGCGGCGCAAGGACCGAATTCTGGTCCTGTGTTTGACCTGTACCACCTCCATTATCACCTGAAGCGGTCGGCTCATCCTTGGATGCGATGTTATAATACGAAGTCTGCTGATTGTAGAACGTCGCGCCACTGCTCGCTGAGGCATTAAGCTTTTTGCTTCTGGCTGGAGGTGGAGACCACGACGGTAATGCTGTGGATACAAAGCCTCCACTCTCGTCCATCGGTGGCGGAGGAGGGAACGATTCTTCTGAGAACTGCAGCAATGAATTGCGACTTGAGTTGGCGCCTTCGTCGAGACTGCCACGGCCAGGATCTGTCTCCTGCGAAGAAGTCGAGTTGCCCCCAAAGTCGTAAGTAGAGAAATAATCTTCAGGCGTCTGGCCGCTAGTGTAAGAGTAGCGCATGGGCATGTCGTTCACGGACGAGTCAACATTCGGTAGTTGCGAGCTACGTGAGCGACTGCGGTGACCACGCACTGGGATGACGTCACCTGATCCTGAGTTTAAAGGTCCATGACTGCGACTGAGATCACCTGGGCCGTGACTGCGACTTAGATCGTTCCCGAAGCCACTGTACTGCGCACTACCGAACTGGGTACTGCTATTGCTTCGAGTGTGGTGGGAACGCTTCGGTGTGCTGCCCGGTGTGAGCGAAGTACGTAGATTATCACGGTAGTGCGACTTGGCTGCGTTATTCAGCACCGCCTTACTCACAAGTCCAGTTACTTCACTGGCATGCACTGGGACGTTCTGGGATGCCACACGAAGCGCTGTTAACTGCTTGAGCTCCTGAACTGACATACCAGTCTTCGGTATAACCGGTGGAGTGGCTACTGCTGCAGGTGTGGAGGTGGCATTGACTACTGCCATGTTGATCTTGGGTGTGGCTGGTCTAGCGGACGAGAAACCCTCGGGCGCTGACGTCTTGGGTGTGGCTGGGTTAGAGCCCGCTGACTGCTGCATTCTCTTTTGTGTAAGTCGCTTGAGATCTTCCACCGTCATGCCGCTCTTGATGCCCATTTTGGCTCCAGTTATGGAGGGTTTCTGGGCTCCAGGGCGAGCAGTGGTCGTGCTGCGGTATCCTCCGCTACGGTTGGGATGGAAACCCGGCGCCTTGCTCTGCTGCTGTTTCTGATACTGCTGGTACTGATAGGGATTCTGCTGAGCCTGGGCTTGAGCTTGAGCTTGAGCTTGAGCTTGAGCTTGCGCTTGAGCCTGGGCCTGGGCCTGCATCTGCTGCTGATAGACCGAAAACTGCTGCTGGGACGCCGCCTGCATGTAGCTCTGCTGCGAGCGCACGCCCCCCTTGCGGCGGTTCATGTCCGCCATGGCACGCACACACTTACGACACGACACACACGACGGGAGCCGGAGGCTGCTGCTCTGCTGCTCGTGCCTGGGGAGTGTCTCTTTTTTCCGGCTCACTTAGCTCGGATGTGACTGTGAGCTCTTCGCCCCCCTCGGCAATGCGGTCCGTAAACATACTGAGATATGTATGTGGCTATGAAGCCAGTGATTTTAATATTCATGCATGCATATAGTGGTAATTACTTACTGCTAGTTTGCACGATTACTGCGCGTAATTTCGAAATGACCGTCATACGTGGAAGATCGTGACCTTTCATGATCGCATTGCTGCTCTTGCTAGTCGCTAGTCACATGGGCAAGAAGAGTCGACGGCAACGACCGAATGCGGGGAAACCTCCGCCAATCAAGGGGAGTGACGCTGCAACATCCCATGCTGTGGACACGCAGCATCTCAAGCTGGACCCGCGCGGTGACGGGATGTACAGCGGCACTTTTCGGTGGCTCGAGTCCAAGGTATTCCCACAGCTTCCACCTTTCCCGTCACACTCCGTGGACTTGTCCGCTGGTTGGAGGGAGTTCCTGGCCTCTAGAAGCTCCACTATAGATAATGTGGACCTAGTGGCCACCGCTATGCACGACCCATCGATGCTGGACGCGCTGAGCTTCCCGATTACACTGCTGCATGTGACGCAGATGCTACATCTCTGCACAGGCCCGGAGCTGCGTGTGCTGGTGGTTGGGGCCTCACAGAAGGCGGAACAGCGCGTCTGGCGCATCACCAACTACTGGAACGATGCCGCTGCCTTCTATGCTAAAACTAAAGTCACGCTGCTCTTCATCGGTCCTGAAGTCGATGAGCGAGATGTCAAAGTCAAGGAAGGTCAACCCGGGAACCTCGTCGTTCACCACTTTAGAGGGACTTTCGGAGACTTTCAGGACTCTCAACTCTTCAGTGACTGCACGCCCGAGACGTCGGTCATCGTGGGCTACAACACTGGCTTCGGCAACTTCGTGGACTCACACAGACACGAGCTGCTCTTCAGCTGGTTGCCAGATCTTCATCGCATCGCGGAATCACGAATCCCAGCTATCTTCACGTGTGCTAATGACTACGCAGACATGAACGGAGAGTTCGCAGTGCAGTCACGTATCGTTGGTGCGGAGATGCTGCTGCTACCCAAGCAGAATCCTTTCAGTGCTGCCTCGCACTTCCACGAAGAAGAAAAGCGAGATACAGCCTGGTCTCGCGGAAGCAGCTTCATGTATGTTGTATGTGGAGTCGATAAGACACGGCAATTCGATGTGGACAGTGGTGACGTGGGGGCTCTGCAGAAGCGACTGGATGCAGAGCTGGATATCCATCTGAAAGACAAACTAGGTCGCCATTTCTACAAGGGTATGGTGCTGACAAAAGATCAGGCTGCAAGGTGCAAAGCCCTCACCGGAAAACAGACTCTAACAGAGAAAACTGTTCCGCAAAGTGATACACTTCTACTGGAAACACCCCGATTTGAGTTGATGCCAGGACAGAGGGAAAACGAGATCATTGCAGCCATTTTCGTTCCCAAGATTAAGTCAGCCTCGGAGCAAATTGCTGTGGATCTCACCGACTCTGTGTTAACTGTATTGGTACCTGGGAAGTACCTGCTGAAGACTAAGTTACCTTTCCAAGTTGATCAAGCTGCTGGATCGTTGCAAGCAGTGCTGACACTCCCTATTCTTCGTGTTTCGTTTCGTAAAAAATAATGTTTGAAGTACCTAAGCTGACTAGTTAGCCTTTGCGTGCAGCTTCACATTTCCATTTGTCTTTTGTGCTGAGCTACTGGTCTTACTTGCTCCTTTGTAAACGCTCAGTAAGAAAGACGTGACTCCTACACTTGGGACGTGCTCATTTCTTGATCGGCTTGAACGCAATCTCATTGGCAACCGTACGTGCGGCCTTCTCACCTCGTAGCAGTTCCACGAGTGTCACAGCCATGGCAATGGCTGTGGCGGGGCCTTTGCTTGTCACGCAGTTCTCCGCGATCACCACTTTGTCGTCCGAGTACAGATCGCTCAGCACCAGCTTGTCAGCTGGATCACCAGCCATAGGCCCCTCAACCAGCGCGTTGTGGAACAGCACGTCGTACACAGCTTCCCCAACTGCAGCATACAGCTTCCCAGCACTCTTTTGCTCTTTCAGTAGCGACGCCAACGTCTGACTAGCACCCAACGTCTTCGCTCCAGGACCTCCAGGCACCGCGATGATATCGTACTCGTCATTGACACAAAACTCAATAGGCTTGTCTGCTTGCACATCGGTGCCCTTCGCGAGCTTTACGATGTGGTTGAGATGCCCATCAACACTCGCAACCGTCACGCGAACACCACCGCGAGCCAGTATATCGCAAAGAGCTGCCACCTCGATCTCTTCACACCCCGTAGTCTACAGAACATTCAGCACAACACTATCGTCAAAAGTTGACGTTCCTAATGAAAATAAGGGAACAGCTTACCACTGGAACAAGCGCTGTGGGCTTCGGGTTGACGATTTCGCTGATGGCTTGTGCAATTCGGGCCATGCTTACTTGTCTTTTGTTCTTCAAAGCTAATAAAAAAGTGCTGGACTTGAAGTGCCATGTCACGTTACTCATTCGTTGGTCATCGAGCTTGTTGAAGTTCATGTTGGCTGTTCCCATACTTAAGTACGTCTTAACGGTCTTGAAGCTGCGTACAACTGAGACCAACCTTCTCAAATTGCGATAGATTTCTTAGTTCACAACTGAATTGTCATCGAAAAGCAGCAACATGATGGCTGGTGGAACAACCGAGTACACGGCACTGGGCGATGAAGATCTCCCCGTGCAGGCACTGCCACACGTGAAGCCTCGAGCTTTGATTGTCGTGGCAGACGGCAGCGAAGAGCTCGAGACATTGGCGTTGTCCGATGTCTTGATCCGTGGAGGACTTCACGTCGTCATTGGATCGGTCGGACGAACCAGAAGCAACATCGTTATGGGCAACCACGGTCTACACATCCAGGCCGAGAAGCCAATTGAGGAGTGCAGCTTTGAAAACTTCGAGCTGATAGTCTTGCCTGGAGTAAGTACACGTTACTGCTTTTCCAAAGTTGAATAATACTGATCACTGCTGATGGATCGAGCAGGGCGATGGAGCTACGCACGTGCGTGACTCCGACCTCGTGATCAAAATGCTGCTGTGGCAGAAACAAGCTGGACGCTGGATCGCTGCGAGCTCCTCGGCGCCTGCGGTTGTACTGAACCCGCACGGTTTGCTTGGCGAGCGTGCCACTTGTTCGAATGCTCATGAGCCAGAAATGATGCGTGAGTTCGTCGATGAAGATGTCGTTGTGGACAATCGCTGCGTGACAAGCCAGGGTCCAGGCACGGTGCTCAAGTTCGCACTGACGCTGGTCAAGCTGCTGAACGGAGACCTTGCTGCCCAAAGAGCTGCCAAGGAGCTTCTGTATCCTTGGCCATAGGTTGTCTGCAAGCTGAACGGCTTTTGAGCTCTCCATTTACGATTGTAATCGCAATATTGTTCATTCTATTCCAGTCTTCAGATCAACTGAATAATTTATACACGAATTATTTCTTGCAGGCTCCTCGTGCGCCCTGCTCGAGAAGCCTACGCCTGGCGTCACATCACAATTGACGCATAATACCGCGCGAACACGAGCGAGGCAAACATCAGGGCGTCAATACGGTCTAGTACACCGCCGTGTCCAGGAATCAGCTTGCCAGAGTCTTTCACACCCGCTGCACGCTTCAGTAGACTCTCAAAAAGGTCTCCTAGTCTCCCCACTATCACAGCCATCACTGTGAACCCAACTTGAGCGACCGCAGAGCCTGGTACGTTGAGTAGATCGGAGGAAATGAACATAGCAGTCACACCAAATAGTATCGCCCCCAGTGTTCCTTCGTAGTCCTTGTTTTTGGATAAATGGGATGCCAGAGGATTGTAGTAGCTGTAGTGTATCCGCTCCAGCAACTTTCCCGTCAAATAAGCTCCAGTATCGGACGCCCACACGACATACAGCAGAACGATCAAAAGCTTGCGATATGATTCCAGTCGTTCGTCATCTACGAACGCAACGATGACCGAAAGACTGCCGATGATGTACAAGTAGCCGAGCATATCCAGCGCAATATGTAGGAACGTGGCAGGTCCTGAAGTGCGCGTTTGCAGGCGAAAGAACACGATAACTACCACTCCCGACAGAAAAACTTGAGCTGGTTCCAGAGAGACACCGCAACGGAAGCGGTTGATGGGACAAGCAGTCGAGTGCATCGTCAATAATGTAAACACTGCCTTCTCCACCAGGCAGATAAATGCATACTTCCAATTAGGCGTGGAGAAAGCACAGAGCGCGGCGACGAAATCTGTGGCGATGCTGTAGAACCATCGCAGTTTGAACAGCTGCTTCTCCTGCAACTCAGGGATGTGATTGACGTAGATCAGGAATACTGGCGTAGTGATTAGAGTTGCGAGCGCCGATAAAATCAATGCAGCAATCCACTCGTTCCGTCCGAAGTATTTGGCGGCGATTTTGGACACCGCAGTATTAGAGAAGCTCGAGTCATGTAAGTAACCTTCGTGCTCAAGTACGTTGCTGTCGTGGCTGGGTCTTCGTTGTCGAGGCGTTTCGTCCAATTGAGGAGACACAACTGAGGCCATGGCCGGCGGTGGGGGCGTCAATGGAGACGACTGCACGGTTTCACCACTAGTACTGACCGCAGTGCGTCCTCTGTTCATATACACGCCACCCGCAGTGTCTGCAGAAGTCTCCACGACCCTCTCTCTGCTGCTACTGCCACTCTCACTTCGTGTGCTGCGACTGAAGCTGTCGGACACACGGCTGTCGTCCCCATCACGGCTGCTCTGGTTCGCCCCGGCATCCCTGTGCATTAATCCTGGCTCACAGGCGTTCATCTTGGTCATCACGCGCAGGTAAATACGGTGTTGCAGCCATGCGTACTCGTAGGAGCAGATGCTAGTTACGAAGGTGCAGAACGTGGCAGTGGCAAAGGCTGGCGAGAGCCACAGGAACACCGTGATGAGTGGCACTAGCACCAGCGCCGATAGCACGCGCTGCACCACGTTCATACGCAGCAATCTCCTGGCCTTTACGCAGACCTCACAGGCGACAGTCGACACTGTAGTAGCTGAATGAGAGACGCTCGAGTCGGTCGGCGATGGCGGTGCCAGAACGACGATGTTTGCGGTTCCTGTGTGGAGGAAAAACGAGGAGGGAGATCCCGGTGAGCGCGGCGTCATCGGTGTGACGGGCAGTCGTGGGAAGCTGCCAGCGCTGGGCACGCTCCGCAGCATTGGCGGCTCCTCCGGAGACGGCGCCAGAAGTGGCGACGGCGGAGCTGGTTGGTCCACCATGATGGAATTCAGTCGAGACGTTATTCTAATCGCAAGCAGACGAACAGATTAAAAATCTGTTCGTAGACTAAATTTAGTCGACTTAAAAATTGCAAATTAAAATCAAGTACTGTTGTTCAATACAACTAATGAAGACCAAGTGAATTTCAATCCATTCCAATTGAACGTTCTCATGGAGGACTCGCTATTTGTGTGTGTGTCATGCACTGTGACGTCTGCGCAACGACCTCTATTTCACAGAAGTGAAGAGCTACAGTACAGCAGCTCATTCCGTCAGCACACTATCCCAACTTCTCCTCCACCAACGCTCACATGCCTTCCACCTTGAAAAATGAAAAGGATGGCATCAAGATTGTACGACGGCAAGTTGCGCTTCCTTAGCTACATATTGTCCATTGTCTCCGTCGACGCGCCTTTGGACACCGTGCTCATTGGCCTTCATTTCGAAACTACCATAACAAATACAAGAAGAATTTGCGTTGCACTACCTACATGTACAATAGTATTCTATTCACAAATCCATTGTTACCATCGACTTACGACGTTTTTTATTCATTCAAGCAACGCGTTTGATGGCTAAACTGGAAGCTTTATAATGCAGACCGCATCTAGAGATTCCGTGACTTTGAAGGTATGGTATCAGATGACCATCATTCCGACGTTATCAGATCATAAATTCCTCAAGTTGGCAGATGACGGAGACGCATTGTCGAATGATACTGTACTGCAAAGTACTGTCAGACGGAATCATGGTGGGAAGACGGATAATTAGCAGTCGTCATCGAATTGCGGCATTTGCTGTTTTGGTCCAGGACTGCCAGATAATAATACAAGTAGACACGCCAGTAATGCGGGACGATGGCAGCCAGTGATTTAGACCGTTGCGGACTCAAAAAAAAAGAACCCGACTGGACTGAGCCCAACAACAACCCTGGGTAACTTGCGCGAGTTAGTGCCATCAACTTGATGGCAATGTCTTCCCAACAGAAAGGCGAGCTGCTGTAGCATGTAGGTAGGTACATGTACATAATTCACTGATTACGATAATACTTCGGTGTACAGTCATCTCGATGCGAGCAGCATGAGCGAAGCAAGCAGCTTAGCGGCGCAGTCTCTCAGCTTTCTTGTGGTCATTCAAACCAATTGCGAAACTGAATCATCCTCGCGGTCTTGTCTCTTGGATGCTCCGAATAAGCGGGGTAGGTTCCAGCGAGCGTTTTATGTGCGGGATCCTACCGCTCCGGCGACCGTTCATTGGTCGACTGGTCTCACTTGAGTCAAGGTGATTGGCTAAAAATATCTCCAGATCCACGCTTCGGTTTTTGACTGGAGTTCCATTTACGGAAGGCAATGTCATTTCGTAATTTGCGGCGTGGAGGACAAGTGATCCGTTCGAATAAAGTATCACTACCGATCCGATGGCGTCGCTACTAGACACACTGGTTGGAGGGTACGCGTCGCTCTTCTGCTTGAATGAACGGCGTGGATCGCCGCAAATGTCTGCCAAAGTGCATGCGCCCCTGGAGCGGAGGTCGGCGCCGCTGCAAAAGAAGCCGACCAAGCTGTCAATCAACGACCGGTTGCGCGCACTCATCGGCGACATCATTAGCGAGGAGGAGCTCGAGCAGCGCGTACGTACACCGGGTTTGTGGTTTGCCAACGATGGGAGGCGTAACTGACGATTTGCTGGGCGACTTGATTTTTTTTTTCTGTGGCTGCAGCTCTCGTTCGGACGCGTGCTGGGTGCTGGTGCGACATCCAAAGTGTACGAGGCGGTGGAAATGAGCTCTGGTCAACGAGTGTCGGTCAAGGTCTTCGATAAGGTGTCGATGGTGGAAGCACGGCGCTCCATGGTCGCGGACGGCCAGTACGTGCGCGAGAAGGCCGTGCACCGCGTACGCCGACGACTACTTAAGCTCGTGTCGGAACTGGAGATCTCCAAGTCGCTGGACCACCCCAACATCATCAAATACTTGGGCGCCTACGAGACGTCACACCGCATTTGTATCGTTCATGAACTTGTGGAGGGTTCAGACCTATTGGAGCATTTGCTGGAGAATGGAAAGATGCCAGAAGACCAAGCGGCTGGCGTATTCCGGCAGCTGTTGTCGGCACTGGAATACTGTCACAACAGGAACATCTTCCACCGCGACTTGAAGCTGGAGAATGTCATGGTCACTAAAGACTTGAAAGTGAAACTCATTGACTTTGGCTTGTCGGAAGTAGTGGCCAACCCGGAGCAGCCACTTAAGACGGTGTGCGGCACGCCGTTGTACTGTAGTCCAGAGATTCTTTTCCTCCATGCAACGGCCCAAGCCGCTCGTGAAGGCTTCCGTGGAGGCCCCGCCGATGTGTGGAGTGTCGGGGTGCTCATCTTCGCTCTTCTTACAGGCTGCGCACCTTTCGATGACTCGGACTTCCACCGACTGCGCCTAGATGTTTCACGCAACCGCATCAACTACCCTGCGTACATTTCTGATCAGGCAAAAGGATTGCTCAAGAACGTGCTAGTGACCGACCCACTCATGCGTCCCACCGCCACGGACCTGCTGTCTTACGGCTGGTTCCAAGATTCACCCAAATCTGAGTCCCTCTCCGACAACCAAGAGGAGGACTGGTTGTGTACTAAGCGCAAAACTGAGCTCAATGACGACATCCGGTGTCGTTCGCTTTCTTGCCGTCGCACCACTGAATCCGACGGCACGTACAGCTCGAGTGCAAGTCTCGAAGATGTCTCGAAGCGCAAACTGTCGTCCCCAACTCACTTTTCCAGCTTGGAGAAAGAGGCCGTTGAAGGCACTACTTTTTAACCATGATAGCTGCTCCTTGGGAAGGCAAGTTAGTAAGTTAACACACGACTGGACCGAGCGTGCTTGGCTCGTCAACGCTAATATATTTACCGAATTGTTACTACTTGATCTTCCTCCTCATTCAACGCTCTTTGGATCAAGCAGAGGCTGTTGGTGTTGTGCTTGTTGACGACTTTAGCCCAGCTCGAGCCTGCTCTGCCTTCAGACGAAGTTCTTCGGCTCGGCGACGGGCATCTTCTGCCTTCTTCGCAGCCTCTTCCTTCCGCTGGCGAGCTAGCTCCTTGTTCTTTTCGATTTCATCCAGCTTACGCTGCCTCTCGCGCTGTCGTAGAGCCTCTTCCTCACTTAGCTGAGTCTCGATCTGTCTGCGCGAGTTCGCTCGAACTTTGGACGCAGCCTGGAACGCCTGACGCCGCATTGCCTCCGCCTTCTCTCGAGCCTCGCGCGCCTTCTGCTCTGCCTCAGTCCGTTTGCGCATGGCTTCATCCTTGCGCTTCTGAACAGCTAGAAGCTCGGCCTCCTGTGCATCACGGAGCTTCAGTGCCTCTAGCTCGGCCTGCTTAGCAAGACGTTCACTGTTCTTCTGCTCGTATAACGCCGTGGCCTCGCGAGCCTTCTCACTCATCTCTTTAGCGCGCACCTTGCTATCAAGCACCGTCTGCATGGCTGCGCGTTTGCGTTGCTCCGCGTCAGTCTTGGCTTGGTGCAATGTTGCAGAGGATGTCTGGTGTTCAAGTGATCGTTGCGACGTCTCAGACTCATACATCTTAAGCGCTCGCTCGCGTTCGTTGAATTCGGCCAGCGAGGCTTTGCACACAGCATCTATCAGCTTCTGATCCGCTTCCTCCTCTGCTTTCTCCCTCGCGCGACGTGCTTCCCACATGGTATCCACCGCGGCGTCGACGCTGCTTCTGGTGGCGCTGGAAGTCGCACTGGACACACTCGCCCTTTCGCCAAACAGATTCTCACCTGGGTTAGCACTCGTCTTTCCGCCAAACAAGCTTTCTCCTGGGTTGACAGCGGCGGCGGCGACTGATGCGTTGGCAGCCATGGCGGCTTCGCTGTAGGTTGCTGGCTGGGTAGAGCTGTCGAGACTCGTCGCGCTGACGTTACTGGACGATCGACCAGAGCGGTTCATGGAATCAGACCTGAAGCTCGGCGGCAGGCCGGAGGCGGTGCTTGCGTTGCTCCCGCGATCCTGCTGCTGCGGCATGTTGCGCCAAGTCTGCGGTCGCGAGTAGTCGATTGAGTCCCGAGAGGACATCGGCGCGGCGTTCACTGGCACGGCGTACGGGATTTCTTGCGGTGAAGGCTGGACGTGCGAGTATTGCGGCGGTGGAGGCTGCACGTACGAGGCGTACGAGGTGTAGGGCGGCGGCGGCTGGTAGTAGCCGTCGGAGTTAGGGTAGCAATGCCCGCCGCCGCTGCTGCTGCTGCCGGTGTAGAAGTCGGTGTGATTTGGGTGCGAAAAGCTGCTCATGGACTGTCGACGTTGCCTCACGCTGGAGAATAGCGGAATGAGCCAGCTGGTGTACACTTCATGTTGGCAAAATGCGACGTTTGGTACAGTAATCCAGCCATTTCCGGACAATCCTCCAATCAAATCGCTCAAAACAGGGTATATAGGTCACTGTGAGCTGTAAAGCGTATGACATCTGTGGCTGCTGCCACAAATGTCACAATGCGCACATGAAAGGGCGGAACAATCGCTTGACCTCTTTCTCGCCAGTGGTGTCATCATGGGCAAGACTTCCAAGGACAAGCGGGTGCGTCGCCTGGCGCAGCTGCCGATGGCATATTCATTGTACTCACCTCGTCCGTGTGTGTGCAGGATATCTACTACCGCAAGGCCAAGCAGCAGGGCTACCGCGCGCGTTCGGCTTTCAAGCTGCTACAACTAGATGACAAGTTCGGGCTGCTGCAGGGCGCCACACGCGTCGTGGACTTATGCGCAGCTCCTGGAGGCTGGAGCCAGGTGATCGCGGAGCGAGTGCCCAAAGAAAGCGCTATCATCGCTGTGGATCTCATGGAGATGGCGCCGCTGGACGGTGTGGTGCAGTTAAAGGGTGACATCACACACAAGGCTACAGCAGACGAGATCGTGGCGCAATTCAAGGGACAGAAGGCGCAGGTAGTCGTGAGCGACGGCGCCCCCGATGTGCTCGGACTGCATGATTTGGACGAATATCTACAGGCACAGCTCGTGCTGGCTGGACTCAACATCAGCTTGCAAATTCTGGAAGACGGTGGCACCTTTGTGGCCAAGCTCTTCCGAGGTAAAGAGGTGTCGCTGTTGTACGCCCAGCTGCGTAGATTTTTCAGCAAGGTGACATGTGCCAAGCCCAAGACTAGTCGCAACTCTAGCTTCGAGGCGTTTGTCGTTTGCCAAGATTTCCGCTTGCCCAAGGATTTCGTGCCAGACATGGAGCGAAACTTGCTGGATTTGCAGTACTTCGAAGATGCCGAGGATAACGACGACGATGACTGGTACACGAGCCAGGTATCAGCGGAGCGTGGCGTTTGTGTTGACGTTGTGTTTATGGGCGCTGGTGACGTGTTTGGCTATGACGCTGATCAATCCTATCCGCTGGATGAAGACGAGGGAGGCAACGTAGCCCAAGGCGATGCCTCAAGGTATGTCCATCAGGAACCTCTACAGAAGCCTATCAATCCGCCATACGCCAATGCTCTTAAGAAACAGCAGCGTAAGCAATAGAAGCATGATTATCATTCAGAATGCAATAAAGCGGAAATTATGCTTTTTCTAAGACTCCATTGGGCTCACTTGCAGCCGTCTCCCCAGTTTCTTGACTGCGTTTCTTGCGTTTCTTCTTGGAGTCTTCCACTGAAGTAAAAAAAAACAAAAACAGTAAGACGTGATGACATTATCGTGGCAAAACCTACTATCACTGGCAAGTACTATACCTCGTGGGTTCTCGTTTGTGTAGAACTTCTTCAGCAGAGTGATCGCCTCATCCTTGAGAATGCCTGACACGCACGGGAAGCCACGGTGCGCTTTGCTTTTCGGGAGTGCGCTGTACAAGCGGCATAATACAAAGTAAAACATCGTTCTGTCAAAGCTTATCGCTAGCCAACGCACCTGCGCTCATGCAAGTTGAGCACGGAGCTGCATCCTCCAAAACGGTCGTTGTGGCAGCCAAAGTATACGCGTTTAATGAAAACATGTGCGAGCGCCCCTGCGCACATTATACACGGCTCGCACGTCACGTATAACGTGCAGTCGGCCAGAACTTCGCCTGCCTTGTCTCCATATTTGGCAGCGATTGCTTCAATCGCTACGATCTCAGCGTGCATCGTGGCCTGCAATTAACAATGCAATAAGAGGAAAATTAAGAATTGAGCATTGGCAACTTCGCAATGGTGTTTTTCGAGCTTGCACACATTGTAAAGCTCGTTGACCCGGTTGGATGCCCGTGTGATGATCTCGCCTTTGTATACGAACACGCATCCCACGGGCACTTCCGCTCTAGTCAACGCCCTCTCGCCCTGTTGTATTAAATTTGCAGGAGTTAGGTAGGCACTAAATAGCGCATATCGACAGAGTTAATCAGAGGCTGTGTACCTCGAGAAGAGCTTCTCGCATAAAGTGCTCATGCTCATCGACGTCCATTGCTACATTCATTGAGGGTTACGAGTTACGACAAGGGTTACGAAAATGGGTACATATTTCGGTTATTCGACGGACTCGCAAACGAATATGAGCCGCACTTTGCTGCAGCTCCGTCGAGGCCTCTGCGCGGCGACGCGACCGACTTCGCAATTGACGCGTCGATGGATCAACTATGGACACGATATGCACAAGGTTTGCAACGTTTGGTGTTCGTTATTGCGCCGTGGTATCGATCTAACGCTTTATTTTATGGAGTAGGAAATGCTCAATGGTACTGCCAAAGTCTCCGTTACCGAGTACGATGAAGGAGGCTTCGTCATCAACGACGTGGTGCGTTGGAGTTTACTATCCGAGCAACTTTTAGTGATGTCCATTGTACGCTGACGAATGCTGTCAATGCTGCAGAATATGCGCGGTGGAGTGGCACTATTCTCCGAGATCGCCATGGTAGAGTTTAGATCGATTGCTGGCATCTGTATAGGCGATCGGTATGTTCTGACTGCGCGCTGGGTGCTGCCACTGTAGCTCTGGAAGCCGAAAAGAATTGAGGAGATCACGCGCGACCACCTTGCTGTCTTTACTGTTGCTAACCCTCCTGTCGGTAGGTTTTACCCATGTTGAACCTAATGTGTAAAAATCGCTGAACGGTCTTTTGCAGAGATTCTGGTGCTTGGGTGCGGTGAGCGTATCAACCACGGACTAGCTCCAGAATTGAAAGAGCTGCTAAAGACGAACGGCATCGTCGTGGAATACCTCGATACTGTCAACGCCTGCGCTACGTTCAACATCCTGAATGCCGAGGACCGCCGAGTGGCTGCTGCATTGCTGCCTTACGACCCTGATGCCACTCCTGAAGCCCCAGAAACGACCAGCTAAGCGCACAAGGATACAGAATAGGAGTAATTTCAAGGTTCAAGGAAGAACGAGAAAAGTTGAGATCCACCTTGCATTTCTCCTTGAAAAGTTCGAGTTACCTGGCTACAAAATTATCGTCGTAGCTGGTTGTGGCAAGTAGGGCACTTGTAGCGGACTCCTCTGTTTTCATACTTATCGATGCAGCCGTGGTGGACCACAGTCTCACAATTTCTGTCCTGGCATTTCGCTCCCTGCAGCAGTTCGTATTGGCAGATCGGGCACTTCTTCACTTGTAGATCGCGCAGAAATGCGATCAGCTCCAGGTACGCCCGTGGCCCCAGAGTGAAGCTACGTGTCTGCAATTGCACAGCGCTTGGTGCGATCCACTTCTCGGCTGTCAACTTGCGGAGTAGCTCCTCCACTTCGTTCAAAGTTGTGGGGCTCTTGCGCAGATTATACAAGTTAGCCTCTTCGAGAGCACCTTCATCTCTGGGATAGACACAAAGTAAGTTTTAAAAAACAGTTCCCAATAGCATCAAGCCACTCCTGTCTTACGTGTCTACGATCTCCTCCATCGCCTTGCGCAGGAACACGATCTCCCATGGCTTAAAATTGCTTCCGAACGCCGTAAGCGAGTCGTTACTCTGATCAACAGTATAATTAACATGGATATCTGCGTGTCAGTGATTATGTGGTGGTGTAAGTATGTATCTAGCATCCTCACGGTGTTGACCACAGCCAGGTACATCTTTCCGTCGTCGTACATGCCACGACGCACATCGAGCGCAAATGGACGGATGTTTCCAGCGACTTTGTTCACCATTTGATCCACATCCGAAGCAGACAGATCTACCATGCAACAATTAAGAGTCCTGAGCATTCGATGGTGTTTCTAATGATGCTGATGATCGACTGACCTTCGCCTGTTAGTTTCCTGGCCAAATGCCGCACCTCCTGATCTTCCATTGCGCCTGCCGCCTGTATACAAATGTAAGCAGTTCGTTGGTGACCATTATTGCACTTCAATCCTTAAAATGAGCAGTTTAATGACCATAATACGTTGCAGCAGCATGCGGTCCGAGTCGTTCATTAGCGCCATTTTTTCAATTCGGCAATGGCGCCATTTTTTTGCTATTACCCATAGAACGTCATCCTTCTTGTGGTGCACACCATAAACATGACGTTTGGAAGGATAATGGATCATAGCCACACTTCAAAAGATCACCACGTCACAATGATGCTTCGCCGCTGCGTTGGTCTACGTCGCTTCAGTTCCATTGCTACGGACCTTCCGCTGGCACCAGTGGGTGCCATTCCTCGCGGAGATGCTGACCGTATTCCAGAAGACGTAGTGCGCGCGCTGGACAAGTTCATTGTTGGACAGCAGGATGCAAAGAAGGCCGTGGCTGTGGCACTGCGCAGTCGTTGGCGCCGTCGACAGCTGCAGAACGACGCGTTGCGAGCGGAGATCTCGCCCATGAACATCCTCATGAGTGGTCCAACTGGGTCCGGTAAGACGGAGATTGCGCGGCGTCTGGCCAAGATCTCCGGGTCGCCGTTCCTCAAGGTGGAGGCCACCAAGTTTACCGAAGTGGGCATTTACGGCGCCAACGCGGACTCCATGATCAAGGATCTCGTAGATGTGGCTGTCAACATGGAGAGAGCTGAGGCACAGAAATTCCACGCAGCTGCTGCTCGAGAACGCGCTATTGACCGCCTTGTGGATCTGCTGGACCGCAAGAAGCTCAGTGACATCTCTAGGGCGGAACTCCGCGAAGAGATTGCCACGGGCAAGGCGGACAACCGCAAAGTTCGAGTTCAGCTCAAGCCGTTAGCAAGTAAGACGCGCCCCTCGTCAGCGAACCCGGAGATGATGATGGAGATGCCCCCAGAACTAGCGAAAATGATGTCACATCTTGACACGCTCATGGCTTCGCGTTTTTCCGGCGGTGGAAAAAAGAGTGAGGACAACACGACGAGCATGACGGTCAAGGAGGCGCTGCCTCGTCTCGAAGCTGAGGAGGCGGACGAGATTATTGACGATGACGAAGTGGTCAAGAGGGCGTTGGAGAACGTGCAGCATAACGGCATCGTGTTCCTGGATGAGATCGACAAGCTGGCTAATGCTGGCGACCAGGCTCGCTCTGGAGGAAGCGGAGCAAACTATCGCAAGGGTGAAGGCGTGCAGAAGGAGTTGCTGGCTTTAACAGAGGGGTGCGCTGTGAACACTCGCTACGGACTAGTGTACACAGACCACATCCTGTTTATCGCCAGCGGTGCCTTCCACCGCTCAAAGCCTTCAGACTTGATGCCGGAGTTGCAAGGCCGTTTGCCAATTCGTGTGGCGCTTTCGCCTCTTGGTGCAGCTGAGTTCGAGAAGATCCTGAAGGAAACGGATCACAACTTGTTGGAACAGACGAGCGCGTTGATGGAGACGGAGGGCGTGAAGCTCACATTCACGGACGACGCCATCAGTGAGATTGCTACTATTGCAGAGCAGGTGAACGCACAGACGGACAACATCGGTGCACGTCGCCTGGCGACTATCATCAGCAAGATCACAGAGGAGGTCTCCTTCCACGCACCGAAGATGAACGGTATGACCTTCGAGGTGGACAAGAAGTACGTACAGCAACGACTTTCGAATGTGCTCGATCGCACGGATCTCTCCAAGTTTATCCTGTAGACACCACGACATTCTGCAAATACAGGGCGCACATGCGTCAATTGTTGCTTTATTTGTGTTGCGCGTTTATCGCTGCAACTCATAGAGTCTACGCTTTGACCACCATTCTCCAGGCATCTGAGAAATCCATGCCTTCGTTTAATTTGGCTTCCACGGCCTGTGTGACCTCCTTACCGAAGATGCATTCCAAGATCTCGAGCTGGGGGTCGCCCATTAGCTCATCGTACATGGCGTTCATCGCTGCTGTGTAGTTCGTAATACGCTCAAGTCTGGGCAAGTCTTCGATGATCGGCATGAGATACACTTGGCAGGACACGGTCTCTCCCTTGCGTTCTCCGTCCACGAGATCCACGTCGATCTCGTCGCGAGCATAGAGATCGTCATCCACTTCCTCCAGCACGTCCAGAGCCGCCAATGTGTCGTCATCGACGCTAAAGACCTCGCCGGTCACTTGGTAACCCTCGTTCATTGGCGCACGATAGAGACACGGATAGAAGGCTTGGTCGTCCAGCACCATGTGGAAATCCTCCTTCGACGTACGAGCTGCGCCAACGAATGAGGCCTTTCCAAGCTCGATTGCTGGCAACAAATACGTTGTGTAGTTGTACAAGCCCGTCTTGAGAGTGCCGTACACGAACACCAACGTCGAAACCATCGCGTACGTCCAGCAAAGATTTTGAATTTTATGCGCTTCAACATTTGGTAATATTATTATGAAGAGTAGCGCTTACTCTAAAAGTTTAGATTACTATTATCATAGTGCTCTTATCCCTGTAAAAATAAGTAAGGAGCATCTTATTTAATTCAGATACTATATAAATGTTAGGAAACTCAGATTCTGCTGATTCCGTACAATACATGAGGAATCAGCCGAATCAGACCGGATCTGAGTTTCCCTACATTTAAATAGCAAAGATGCTCTTCAACTGTCAAACATGTTCTTAAGCGCCTTAATGTCCAATTATGTATGAGTGACAATTTATATAATGTGATCCTTGACATGTCATTTCTAAATGATATGAAGTTTGTAAGTTAGTTTTTGACGGACTTCCAGCAAGTGTCCACGATGGACTTGCGTACGGCGCTGAACGCCATGGACGACGACTACCACTACCATGATGGTGCGCTGCCTGCCTGCCTGATTGCCTGCTTGCTGTGCAGTAGTGCTCCCTTCACGTATTGACATTGACTGACGGGCTGTTCCTCTATATTCCTATCCACAGAACCAGAAGTGCCCACCCAAACGGAGACCGTGGACGTGTATTTGCTGCGACCCGAGGAGCCGCGCGAGATCGAGCTCAAAGACTTCACCATCATGAAGCCAAAGAACAACAGAATGCACCGACTTGTGCGCTTCTACCCGCGCTGCCAGATTTCCTACCGAGCCACGCTACCGGCCGAGGAGAAGTCGGTGATGTCCCCCGGCGGCACCGTCACGACTACGATGCTGCCGGAGCGTCTGCCACGCCACAACGGCGGCTTCAGCAACCCCAGTCGCAATGCAGAGATCTTCCGACTCAAGCGGGAGCTGCTGAAGGAGTACTACGCTTCGATACAGGAGGACGACCGAGAAGCTGCCATGTTCGACGCGCTCATCGGCCGGAGCGCGCATCCAGCTCAGCAGCCCAGCTGGGCAGACAGTAGCAATTATGCTGACCGTTCCGAGGTGAGAAGCTTCCCTCCTGCGCCTCCACGTGTACGTAGGCCGCTGCCAAAGTACAAACCTATGAAGGTGGGAGGCGAAGACTTCGTCCCACTGACGGGAGATAAACCAGGAAGCTTGACGCTTGACGAGCGTGTCAAGTATATTTCGTCACTTTGGCCAGGTCTAGCGCCTGTAGACGATGATGGAGATATAATGGATTACTATGGAATTGAAGTTCAGATCATCTCTGAGGAAGAGAGGGAGAAAGACTTGGCTGCGATGGAGGAGAATGACGCGAAGCCAACAAATGCAGCGGCGACGACGACAGTGACTGCGCTGGAGTCGGCTGCTATAGACACAGAGACGAAAGAGGAAGAAGCTGCGGCCAGCAGCTCCGAAACTACAGCCCCGTCCTCTCCTGAGCTGTCGGTGGAAACGCGAAGCTCTGCACTGCAGAAACTGAAGGAGGCAGCAGCAGAAGATGACGACGAGATCAAACCGAATCCCATCGCGACAAAGCAAGATGACTGGGTGCAGTGCGACAAATGCCAAAAGTGGCGTCGACTTCCGAGTAAGTTTCACCCTTGAGCATGAAAAAAGATGCGTGGACTGACCATTGTAACTCGTAATGTGTGTGAACCAGACCAAGTTAACGTGTCGGAGCTGCCGACTGTTTGGTATTGCAAAATGAATAAATGGGACAAACGACACAATGTGAGTGTGCTTTTGAGTACCGCGATCTCGTTCTCAATCTAACAAAGGCCTGCGTTATCGTCTAGAAATGCTCGGCACCAGAAGAGAAGCTTGTGGTGCTCATGAACGGACCAGATTTGATGGAGTACCGTCAGCGCAAGTTTGCACAGGATTTTATTCAGCGCTGCAGGCGTCTGGATAAATTGTCGTATCATTACAAGTACACGCACTCTCACGACGATGATGGCGAACGCAAATTCGTGCAATGCACGGAATGCCTGAAACTGCGTCCACTACTTGGTGGCATGGATCCGAACAAGGTGGCGGAGCCTTTCGCTTGCTGGATGAACTGGGACGAGCTCTTGGCGAGTTGCTCGGCACCGGAAGGTCCGCTATACCCCCGAGAGAAATCGCGGGGCGGTGGGAATGGGACAAACTACTTGGCTAATACAGTTGGTGACGACTGGAAGGGAAGCAATGCAGCCAGCGAACCCAATGCAGGAGGCGGTGGTCGTACTGGTAACAAGCCTGGTCGAAAAGGAAAACGCAAGGCGGAGAAAGGCTTGAGTGGCAGGACGATGAAGACCAAGAGAAGAACAGCAGCATGAACAAACATTACTCTATACATGTACATTGCATAACAAAGGAATCAGGTCAAGTGTAGAGAACCTTCGTCGCGATGGCTCAAGCGCATAGCGTGTCGAACTCAAACCGCTTTGGTTTTTCAATCTTGTCATCACGTTCCAGGCCACTCCTTCCGTAGCTGTGACGCCATGTGCCCATGCACTCGTCTACTCTGGTACTCTACTTCTTCTCATTATTGCTCAGCAAATTGCGATACCTTCTGCAATGGTTATCGTCATCAGACAGCAACCCGCGAGCTCACCTTATCCACACACGCAAAGCGGCAGGACAAAAAGGCCCAAGAACTTCTAGCGGGGGTCTTAAAAGCGGCCTTATGTTTTGCATCATTGCGAGAAGAAGCGCAGAGCTAGACAAGCGTAAGCTCAGGCACGAGACACAGCTGTCAGGAAGCCACAGAAGCTTCTTCACAGGAGGGCCAACAATAGAGTGGAAAAGGATCACAACCAAACAGCCATTGACCCGTCGAACACATGAAGCACAGCCCAGCAGAGTCTTGGGATCTGCGGGCAACAAACTGCACGCTTCATCGCTCTTATAGCAAAGGAGAACGTCGAGCGTTCTCCCCATTAGCTGCAGCAGATAAACCTCTCGAACGTGTTATCATCACCGAGACGACGCGAGGCCTTCTCTCAAATGTGGCTAAAGCATCTTCACAATGGACAAGAGCGGCGCTCAAACCAAAGGCGAGCAACAGCAGCAGTTTATTACTCGTCGACCCGTCACAGACTTACGCTGAACATGACATCACACATAGACAGCAGATCCAACGGCAGTCCGGCCTTCCTCCCCTCCTCTTCCTCTCGTGACTAGCGTCCACCCGCACCGAAGTTCCACAGCGTCCGTCGTCCAGCGCAACCACCAAAAGGAATGTGAGCAGATTCAATCTATAGTCTAACCTACAGTCCCTTTTCTGTGTATAGGAATCAAAGTTTTGCTTTTACTCAGATCTGATTCACATGTTTTTTTTGCTTCAAGTTCTAGCGGTACTGCCGAATTTGTAGCATCTTCGAGATCTTTTGCTATGGACACGTACGTCTTCGTCTACGGCACGCTCAAACGTGGCCTTATCAACTATGAACGATACCTGCATCCAGCAGAGCTCGCTGGCAAGGCTGAGTTCGTGGGGACGGGTCTAACTGCCTGCGCCGAGTTCCATCTCGTTCTCAACCCAGATCGCTCTGTGCCGTGTTTGTACCGGGCTCACACAGAGGGGTACCAGGTGCCTGGCGAGGTCTACCGCGTGGACGCGGATGCGTTGGCGGCGCTGGACATTCTGGAGGCTGTCAAGGACAACTATTATGTGCGCGAGGAAATCCCAGTGAACGTCGTGGAGGGCGAACTCAAGCACCAGACGGTCAACTGCCAAGCATACATCATGCCTATCCGAGAGGACCTGCTCAAGCTTGAGCGCATCCCTAACTACACGGCGCTCATGCACAAGACGTACCGCTCACGCACTGAGACGCCCAACCTCGAGGTGCTCAAGTGTCTGTATGGGGAGGAAGTGACGGACGCAGTACAGAGTAAGCTGAACGAGGGGATGAAGTTCGATGGAGCCTGGAAGGCAGTCGTGGGAGCGTAGAACAATTGAGGCATCAGGCGGTGAACAGTGAATCAGTATGGAAAGAAGTATCCAATTCATCGCAACACGTTTTGTTTCTTCATTTGTTGATTTTAGACCGATACGACAGTCACCGTGATGTCGTCGCTGCTGCCGAACTCCCGCGCCTCCTTGACGATGGCTTGGGCAGCGGATTCGGCGGACGCTCTTCTATTGGTACCGAGCTCCTTAATTGCTAACGCCATTGTGCGATTATTGTTGAGCACCGTCCAGACGCCGTCCGTGGCGATGACTAAGATGCTGCGACCAACAAGCAGCTCACTTCGACGGATCTCGGGTGTGGGGATGACCCAGTTCTTCATGTCGGGGCCCTTCATGTCGATATCTCCGATAGTTCGGAAGGGTTCCAATACGCCTGCAATGCGCTTGTTCTGGATGTATGCTCCACTGTTTAGCGCTCGCATTCTCTCCTTCACATTAGCTGCGCAATGATCGTCTGACAGTGCAATCGTCTTCCCCGCCGTAGACGGTGGCGCTTTCCCCTTCACTTTCTTCCCTGTTGTAGCGGATTCTGACGCCTCGTGAATAATAGCGCGGCAGTCTCCGATATTGAGCACGATCTTCTGCGGGGTGTCTGTGTTCGGGTCCACATACAGCAGGACGGCCAGCAGACAAGCGCCACTCATGTCCATTTTCCGCATGGCCATACCGCAAAACCTGCGATCTAGCTCCTCCATCGCCTTAGAGAGCTTCGCATGATCGAAGCCGTCGTCGTACACTTCGTCCAGAGTCTTGAACAGCTCGTCGACGAGGAAATCGCCAGCCCACGAGCCGCCATGGCCGTCCATGACTGCGAACAGGTGAAACCGCTCGTTGCTGGCCACCACACATCGGTCCTCATTGGCGTGGCCTTGAGAGCCCTCTACAGACAGCGACGCCACGTCCAGCAGTCGGATGGGGTTCTTCTTGTCTGTGCTCGCAGATCTCCGAGCTGCTTGCTCGGCTTGCTCCTGGTTCTCGTCGCTCGCTTCGCCCCCCGAGCTGTACACTCCGTTGCCACCAGCTATCGCCTCGGCGAAGTCACCATTGCCGCTGTCGGCACGGACCTTGGTGAGCGCGCGTTGTAGTCGCGGCGCACCGGTGGCTGCGACCTCCATCGTTAGAGGGAATGGCGTAAACGGAGGACTGTGTGTGAGTCTGGCTTTATTTCATTGGTCGCCACCATTTCAACGTCAAGTCAACTTGTTCATGCACGTTACAAGTCCTACACACACCAAGGCAACCTAGCGCCTTGGTGCAGTCCTACGTCATGTTTATCTCGTGATGCGGAAGGAGCGAACCTTGGCCAGCAGCTCCTTGGCTTCACCCTTGGAGAAGTGCTCACGGACAGGCTCCAGGATCCTGAAGAAAAAAATGGTTAGTAACAAAAAACCGGTAAAGATCGATAATTGATACGTACTCGTTCAGGTACTTGGTAAGGGCTGCCTTGAGGTCAGCACCATTCACCTGGCGAGCGACGAAGGCTTCCTCTAGCTCCTGGTAGGCGGCGAATGTCTTCTCCGAGCCGTCCGCAAGCTTCACAGTCACACCTTCTGTGGCGAAACGCGGACAAATGATGTGCTTCATGTAGTCGAGGATCGGGTTCGCCTCCACGACACCCTCGGGACAGAACGCGTTCTCGATCTTGCGGCTCACGTCTTCAGCGGCGTCCTCCATGAAGATGGCCGACTCCGGGTCACTCTTCGACATCTTCTCCTGGCCTTCCTTCAGACCCATGAGCATGTGGTGACTGAGGATAATAGGCTTGAAACGAATCTTCGCCTGGTCGCAGTAGTCGCGTGCAAGCATGTTGATCTTGCGTTGATCAATACCCAGCTGGCAGATGTCCGCCTTCAGGTTGAAGATGTCAGCGCACTGCATCAGCGGGTAGAGAATCTGCGCGGCCTGCATGCCTTCCTTCTCCTTGCGGCCCATGATCGTGCAGCACTTGAGCGTGCGAGCAATAGTCGTACGGCGGGCGATGTCCATCACACGCAGCCAGTACGAAGCGCTGTGCGAAATGATCTCCTTGGACGCCCACAGGAACTCCACATTGGTCATGTCCATGCCCACGGACTTCCAGATCTCCACCATGTATTGACCCACCATGCGGATCTTGTCCAGATCGCCGCCCATCTTGTTGTTCAGCATGGCGAACCAGTCAGCCACCCAGAAGCGGAACACGCTGCCGGTCGACGTCAGCTTGTTCACGTTCACTGTGCGCAGAACACCCTGAGCAATGTGCATGCGTCCCGAAGGCTCGAAGCCATCGTAGCACACGGGGTTGTCCTTCTTCTCCAGCAGAGCCTGCAGCTCGTTCTCTTGGATACACTCCTCACCCACGGAGCGAGCCACGGCGTAACGCTCCTCCAGCGACAACGACGATGCCTTCCACTCCTTGACAGACTCGGGGAATCCAGGTAGCGTCAGGTTGGCCAGCTTGTCACCGTCCGGGATCGGAGACACCTTAAGCTTCTTGATGCTCGAGAACATCGTCTTGAGTGGACCGCTGGCAAAGTGCTGGCGCACAGGCTCAAGCAGAGCGTTGATGTACTTGGTCAGACACGGCTTCAAGTCAGCGGGGTGCACCTTTTCGCTGGAAAAGGCCGCTTCAAGCTCGTCGTAGCTGGCAAAGGTGAGATTGCCGCCGTTCTTCTCGCTACGTTCAAGCGTAATGCCATCCGCATGGAGAGGGAAGACCAAGTACTTCATGTAGTTCAAGACCGGGTTACCTTCCACCTCGCCGGGCACGCAGTACGCCTTCTTGATCTTTGTCTTGACCTCAGCGGCCGTGTCATCGACGTAGATGGCCGACTCGGCGTCCGTGGTGGTCATTTTGAACTGCTCCTGCTTCAGACCAAGCAGCAGCGGGTGCGTGAGGAAGACTGGCTTCTTGGGCAGCTCCTTCTGCGCAATGTACTCGCGAACGAGCTCGTTGCCGGCCTCTTGGTCAGCGCCGAGCTGGTAGATGTCAGCCTGCAACAAGAAGCCGTCCGCGAGCTGCATGAGCGGGTACAGGATACGGTTCGTGTTGTGCACAGCGTCGTCTGTCTTGCGGCCCATAATAGGCGCACACTGCTGCACACGCTCGACCGTGAAGCGGCCAGCAGCGTCCAGCACCTGTGACCAGTAGGCGCCGGCGTGGCGCGCGGTCTCCGTGGAGGCCAGCATGATCTCGAGGTTGGGCAGTTTGTCAGCGTCCAATCCCAGCGCCTTCCAGACTTCCACCATGTAGGTACTGACGCTCTGAAGCTTCTTCAGGTCGCCGCCAAACTTATTGTTAAGCAAAGCGTGCGTATCCGCCACCAGCAGACGCACGTGGCAACCAGCGTCCATGAGGCGCTTGGCGTTGAGCGCACGCAGCAGACCGGAGGCCAGGGTCACGCGACCTGAAGGCTCGAAGCCGTCATAGGCGATGGGGTGCGCCTTCTCGGCAAAAAGCGCACGCAGCTGGGCCTCGGTCTCGGCGGACAGCGGAGCGCCAGTGATGGCTGCGAGCTTGGCGATCTTCTCATCGACAGGCAGAGCGGCAGCTTCAGGAGCGGCAGGCACAGGAGCATCCAGTGTTAAGGCAGAGAAGCCCTTCTGCACGTCAGCGGCAGCGGCGGGGGCGGGCGGGGGTGTAGCCATTGGGATCGCGGTTGTTCCAAACTTTGGAATCCAAAGTGACGGTCAGTGGTTTGGATTGATGCGCCTGAAATCGGTATTACCAGTTCGATTACGGTAGTTTGGATCGTCTCGTGATCATTGTCGTGTCAAGGTCGCTCGTAGAAAACTCGTGTGGTGTACACGGTTCCGCTGAGTTCGAGCAACATCGACTGGTCGGTGGCAGGTCATGTACGTTGACGCTCGGTCGGTGGTTTGCTGAGCTGGCGGCAGCTCTCTTGCAACGTGTCGCAGCTGTACTTCAGGTTTTCGCCTTCGGCAATGAGGCCTGCTGCTCGACGGTCGCCGCATCGGTCGTAGCCTTGCAGTCGTCATCGACTTCTTTCCAAAGGGACAGCGCGAAGCTAAGCAGCTTTACAAAATTGATCGTCCGCCGAGACAGCGCGTACCATTCTGGTTGAAGCGTGCAGTGCTGAGCGTCATCTTGCAGTCCTTCTCCTGTTGCCGTGAACATCGCGGTGTCTCGCTGCAATTGGCGTTCTTTTTCTGCCTGCGGTCTTGTACTGCCCGTGTTAAAACTCATTCGATTGGATACCCTTCGGATTCATACCCTACCCTATTTTTAGATCGGCGTCATACTTTTCTGAGGTAACCGCTAGTTCATGAACGGCAACTGTTATTTTAGTGCTTTTTTTCAAGCCAATTCGGCGCTCTGCTGCCACCGATTCTATCCTGGGCAAAACAGTCTCGGTTCAAAGCTGCCGGCGAGATAACCCCATTCGTGGTCTTTCCCCAGCAGTACGAAGCACTCGCCCTCAGGATTGATCCAGTCGCCGCTCGCCGCCACTATGTGCATGTGCTCGTTCAACCTTCTGCCGTTCTTGCCGCAATTTGCGAGCTCATGCGATGATATGGCGCTTCGCAAGCTGTCGCCCGTGAAGAGGTCGCGGCCGCGACGCAAGGTGCGCCCTCGTCACGCCAAGCGCGCCTGGTGCGACAGCCTCATCTACTCCAACCTGGTGTATGCGCTTGCGGCGCTCATTTCGTTCAGCTGCGACCAGAACTTCTGCGGCGTGCTGCAGATGGGCGCGGCTATCGCGTCTACCATGTTCCACCGCTCCAAGGAAACCAAGTACCTGTTGCTGGACGCGCTCATCAGCGGCACGTTGGGCATTATCTTCATTTTTGCCGGACAGCACACGCTTAACAAGGAATGGTACGGCATTCTGGCCATCAAGCTGGTACTGGCTGTGCTCTGCGTATTCACTTGGCTCTACTGCGGTATGCCCGGCGGAGAGCGCTACGACAAGTGGCACAATCGCTGGCACTACGTCTCGGGCGCCACCACGATTTCGACGACGCTTTTCTTGACGATGTACATGCCGGAGTTCGATCTTCTAATGCACGAGCTCATCCAGGACGTCGTAGTTGTACGGAGCATGTTTAGCTGAAGTGCGAGGGTGATCTGACGAGGGCGACGACGGCTACAGGAACAGTGACAACAGTGGCATTCCGATGTGTATCGACGAGAGGAGATGAACGATACAGTATCCGACCGTTCACGGCATCGATACACAGTTGCTTTTCAGCAGCACAGTGCTGCCAGCTCTGATTGATCAGGGGACCCTCCCCGAAGCACGCACGGGTTGGCCCCTGCTAAGCTGAGAGACTACCCTTAGCTACCTTAGGTGATAGTTGCTATCGTCCCTAGAGAGAAGGCACCTCGCGGTGTATCATTTTCAAACTGATCAATACGATAATGCATTCTGTATTGTGGGTGTTTTCCAAGAATGTCATGGCAGCGTGCATGATACAGTTCATGTTGAGCTCGTCACTTGAGCAGCGAGCTGTCTCAAGAGCTTTCTCTGTCAAGACAGCGGTGTTTACGCAAGTGCTGGAGCTTCAGGCGGATATTCAGCGGTAGATGCCTCGGTATCTTTGTCGGTTTCAGCATACTAAAGTATTAGTTCTTCACGCTGTCGAGGTAGGAACGACGACAAGCTATCACCGCCTCGGAGATTAAGGCACCGAGAGTCTGAGCATTGCCCAAGATCTCAACGTCGGCCCGTCCCGAAGACGCTGCGAATGGTGACGGTGAAATCAGGATCAGCTTATTTTCCGCGGGGCTTCCTTGCTCTTTATGATAAAGTGGCTATTTTCTGTTGGACAGCTACGACTCAGCTTTTCACAGTGAAATCCGAGTGAATTGTACTCGTATCCCGAGTCGGAGTGACCCACAAGTGTACTAGGTAGTCTTCTAGCAACATGGTAAAAAAGGAAACTGTAAGCGTGAATGGCATGGCGCCTCCAAACTCGGAAATCAGCAAAGCTATTATACTGGACACTGCATATTGCAACTTTTTTATGCCGTTGAGTGACGCTGAGCGTTGTTGTCATGCCAGTACATGTATTCTGATTTATATGTGCGTTGCAGTGCCGAGGATGCCGCTCAGCAAGCGCAAACGTGGTGTTGTCATTAACTGTGTACCGAATCCAAATCATTGCGTGGGAAGGAACCCGTGCCGGCCGATACAAAAGTCGCTTTGCCCTTTTCTGTAATTTGCTGCGGGTAAAATCACTTTTCCGCTTTGGTGCATTCATACATTGGCAGCGCAAGAGAGAGAGAGAGAGAGAGCTCCGGGAGCGGAGGTGATCTAGAACCAGTTCAGTTGCTCTCCGGCGCCGTATTTATAGTCCCCAAACTGGTAGTTACGCGACGTCGCATTGGCTTCTTCCAGCTGGTCACTCGTCAGCCTATTTCCCGTCTCGACTCGTCATGGCCAGCAAACTCAACGCGTTCCTGGCCGCTGTGCCCGCGAACGCGAGCGTGCCCAGCCCGCCCAAGTCGGCGCCGGCCGTAATGGCCTTCCCACAGCTGGATCTCAAGGTTGATCCCGAGAATACCGGCTCCTTCGCGCCAACCACGCCACAGCCGCCCATTGCGCGTCGTCGCCGCACGCCGTCACAGCGCAAAAATAACCCCAGCCTCAAGCTGGAGCTGGACAGCCCAGTGGGCTCGAGCAGCTCGAACCAGGAGCAGGACAGACCCGAAGATGATCGGGATGTGTCGCGGCCGTCGCCTCTTAAGAGCTTCATGGCTGCACAGGCAGCGGCAGCCAAGCTCAAGTCGCAGACGGACAAGCACGATATCTCTACACCGGACCTGGCGCGTACAAGCAGCGGTTCGGAGCTGGACGCCAAGTCGGAGGCGGGGCCTATGCGTATGGCCAGCGCTCAAGGATCGCATCACCGTCGCGTGTCCACCGACACGACGCTGTTCAACAAATACTTACGCCAACAGGCAGATCTTGATATTAGCCACGACACTGTGCAGTATTTCGCCAATGTACAGGTCATTACCGCCACAGCAGCTGCAGCTGACGCGCTCGAAAGTGAAATGAGCGTGGATAATAACGCCGACGAGGAACACGCGAACTCCGTTGTACAGGAGCCGGAGGAAATCCTTGCACTATTTCGACTGGGCAGTACCATCCCTGTATCCAGTGCACTGGAAATTGTACGACGAGCTACAAACCTCATGACATTGGAGCAGAACGTCATCTCGATTCGCGCGCCGTACACATTAGTGGGGGATCTCCACGGCCAATTTCAGGATTTATTAGAGCTTTTCCGCGTACATGGCTCTCCGGCTGTCGACAATCCGTTCTTGTTCCTTGGAGACTATGTGGACCGCGGGGTTTCTTCCTGCGAGATTATCTTATTACTCTTGGCCTTTAAAGTGGCCTTCCCACAGAGTGTGCATCTATTGCGTGGAAACCACGAGTGTCGGAGCTTGAGTACATTTTACGGATTTCGCGCAGAATGCCTCAAGAAATACGGACCTGTGCTCTATAACCGCATGATCAAGTGTTTCGAGAGTATGCCGCTGGCCGCACGAATTGAGACTGCGCACGGCACGTTCCTGGCTGTACATGGCGGACTATCACCGGATATTCAGTTTGTGGACGATATTAACGGACAGGTGAACCGCTTTATGGAGCCAGAACCAAACGGAGCTCTGTGTGACTTATTATGGTCAGATCCTGCCAAGGGAGAAGCACAGGAGCAGGAATGGGCCCCCAATGGTATGCGGGGCTGCTCTTTCACGTTTAATGAACGTGCCTGTCGCGAATTCCTGAAGCGTAACAATCTTCTGGCTATTATTCGAGCTCACGAGCTGGAAGAGGACGGTTATAAAGAGCATTTTCGTCACGAAGGGGATCGCACGGAGGAAGACGAGGAGGGAAAACTCACTCTACCCGCGGTTGTGACGGTGTTTTCAGCTCCAGAGTATTGCAATACAAACCACAACGTCGGAGCGACGTTGAAAATTCCGTGGGAAAAGCAAAACGGTCGTTTACTGCAGTATCAACAGCACAAACGCAGTCAATATTCCGAGTTTGAGTTCACGCGAGCAAGCGAGGATGAGGCGGTCAAGGCGTTTTTGGAGGAGAATCTGCCGTTTTTGCCGATTGACTTTTACGATTTGGTGAACGTGTGTCGGCAGTTGCGGTTTACTCTTGAGCGAGCAGCGAGCACCACGTCGGCGCCTGCAACGGAACCTATTCGCAAACTGTCTTTAGTGTCGTCGCTGTGTGCACCAGCAGCTAGTGTTGAAGCCAAGATTGAGGAGGAAGATCCAGAGCTTCCCGTGTCTCCACCCCCATCTGCACCAGCTAATGAAGTGGAGAATAACACTACAGACGCCCAGGAGGCAGTGAGTGAGTCTTTGCAGGATTGGGAACTTGTAGGGGAGATGAAGAGTGCTGAGGATGATACGAAGAAGTCGAAGAAAGCCAAGAAGAAGGAGAAGAAGGAGAAAAAACTGAAGGAGAAGATCGAGAAGAAACAGAAAAAACAGAAGGACAAGAAGAAGTGGGATACGAGTCGAATCGTGAGCGGCTGGAAGTTCTGCCCAGGATTTGTACGCTTCTACGACCGCTACTTTGCACGAGACAGTATGAAGAAGAGCGAGCCGGAGATCACCTCAGCTCCTGGCCATCTAGGCAAGCGGGCGTCGTGGATCCCGTATTATAAAACACCGTTCAAGCGCTCAACTTCGACTGGCGAGGCCCCCACCGACACTGAAACTAACGATACAGTCACTGATTCTACCGGTCCTGTTCGACGGAAGAGTATGACAGACTGGATGCCGATGCCGTCGTTCGAGCAGGTGGCTCAGCTTACAAACACTCTTCAAGGCCACATTCCCGTTCAATCGAACGGTATTAACGTGTTCACCAAGGCCCAGTGGCAAGCTCTGAAGTTGTACTTCTCGATTCTGGATCTTGATGGCAATGGGGTGCTCATGGAAGAGAGCTTTGTTGTTCTCCTCGCTGAGCAAGATAGCGGTACGTTTGCTCGTGGTCTGTTGTATGTTTGGATGCCTAGTTGATACTAACTTCAATGTGTGTCTGTAGATGCTTATGCGACTGAAGACGAATTGAGTCTCTTGATGGAAGTCATGGACTGCAACGCCGACAACATGGTCACCGAACAAGATTTCTTACTATTCGCGTACCGGGCTTTGCTGCGGTGGAAAAAGTCTCTGCATGGCTCCGACTAGAGTGTGCTAGAGCATAAATCGAACTCTCGTAGTGAAGTATGACTACCCAATGCCAGAATAGAATCGACAGTATCGCGGCACCTGCCCATAGTATGAAGAATGAAATCTATTAGTTGGAAAAAAAAAACTTTGTGTGGTACATATCTTGGGCAACACAAGTAAAATTAAGCGCGTCAAAGTAATGCCTGCATGTTTTGCCTTGAAACTTTAGTGTATCAGCGTGCGTGGAGAGGTTTTGTGAGTGGGGGAACCACGAGCTCTTGTTGGGCCAGACTTGACTTTATCCTTTGGGGTCATGGTCACGTTGAAGCTCTTGGTGCCAACTGTACCAGGAATGGAATACGCTCCAGGTCCGACGGTCACAGGCACCGTCGGCTTCACGCGAAATCGAGCTTCATTTCCGACCGTCAAGCGAAGATCTCTTGATCTTGTGTAGGCTCCCGTATCGTCGACATTGTCCTTATACGCCCCAGGACCAGGCAGATCGCAGACATCTTTGGTGTCAAACACGGATCGCTCTTGCGTCGACAGGAATGGTACTCGTGGTGATAGGAATTCTGCTGCATCTGACGCAGATGCAACTTCCGGTACGCTCGAAGCAACGGCCGAAAAACCTTTAGAGACGTTGTACTGCCCCACTGCAGGTGTAGCCTGATCACCCACACAATGCACGTGTGGTGGGGCGTGTGGCAGTGCATTCTTCGCAAATCTAGTCGAACCGGATTTGAACGCGGCAGAATTAAGGTAATGTCTAGTGTCGAACGATCCCGCCTCGGAATATGCTCCGGGTCCTGGGGTAAATTCGTCCCCACTCCAGACCTGCCGTTCTGATGTCGTTCCGAAGACTCCGTTCCGTCCGATGCAGAGTTTGCCTCTAACATTTTGGTTGAGAGACCGTGGAGTCTCGCTCCTGTATGCACCTGGACCTGGAGCTGAAGGTGTCTTTGTAGGAGCAAGACAAGGTCGCTCAGTAGCACATGAAAAGCCGATTCCTTCAGCGCGGTGATGCGGAATTAAGACTCCACTTGTTTTTCTTCCAAGTTGTTTTGATGAGGGATTCGAGCGAGCAGTGCCGTATCTGCCGGGACCTGGTGTCGTAGTGTACGAAGGATTGCTGAAAGGAGTGGTAATGTGCGACGTCAACTCGGTACGACCTGTAGTGGATCCAAATGCCTCCGTCTTCGTACCGTAGCCGCCAAGCTTGTTGTGTTCCTGGCGATATCGTTCAGCACGCTCTTCCTTGGCTAGGAGTTCCTGCTCTCGTTCAGGGTCGTAAACTCCAACAGGTTTGGGAGCTTGAAGAATGGGCACCTTGGACGCAAATACAGCACTCTGTCTAGTGCCTCGATGTTGACTACGGCGTGCACCAATTCGCGGTCGCTGTCCTTCTGGGATCGACTTTGCTGGTAGTGGAGTGGTCACCACTGTGATTTCGGGGACTGAATTGGTGTTGTACTGACCTGGGCCCGGCAAACTTGTAAGTCTCTTGTTCTCCTCCCATACTTCACGTTTGGCGGTAGATTTGAGTGACGGAGCCCCGTTCTTCTTTTCATTCCAGATCGAGTTATGTCTGCTGTAGGCGGCAGGGCCCACTGTGTCATGTCCGACACCAGAGTAGATTTTTTCAGGTGCCGACTGTCTCTGAAGCTCCACACCAACCTGCACGTAGCCGTAGCTTTGTTGTCGCTGTGGGATAGTAGGCACTGACGGTTTAATTAAATGAGCGAATTTGCGGAGCCCTTGGTGTTCCCGTTGGTTGTTGGACGGTGGTGATGAAGATGGACGTAGATAACTTCCTGGGCCGGGGTTGTCCTGGACGGTAGACGCACTAAAAACTGTGGATCCTGGTGCACTAGGCGCAAAACG